AAACGCAATTGGAGACACGGATGTTTTTCCCGTGGTTCGGATAGGTGGTGCTATCCTACATCCACGTTGATGGAGACTTCAACCCACGAAGGGTAACGGTTGCGCGAGTCCACGGAGGGCTCCACCCACAAAGGGTAATGGTTGCGCGAGTCCACGGAGGGCTCCACCCATGAAGGTCCACGAAGAAGCAACCACCCACGAAGGGTCCACGAAGAAGCAACCTTGTCTATCCCACCATGGCCATCGCCCACGAAGGACTTGCCTCACTAGCGGTAGATCTTCACGAAGTAGGCGATCTCCTTGCCCTTACAAACTCCTTGGTTCAACTCCACAATCTTGTCGGAGGCTTCCAAGTGACACCTAACCAATCTAGGAGACACCACTCTCCAAGAAGTAACAAATGGTGTGTTGATGATGAACTCCTTGCTCTTGTGCTTCAAATGATAGTCTCCCCAACACTCAACTCTCTCTCATAGGATTTGGATTTTGTGGAAAGAAGATTTGAGTGGAAAGCAACTTGGGGAAGGCTAGAGATCAAGATTCATATGGTAGGAATGGAATATCTTGGTCTCAACACATGAGTAGGTGGTTCTCTCTCAGAACATATGAGTTGGAATTGTGTATGTGTTTTGATGGCTCTCTCCACGAATGAAGAGGAGGTGGAGGGGTATATATAGCCTCCACACAAAATCCAACTGTTACACACAGTTTTCCAATCTCGGTGGGACCGAATCAACAAACTCAGTCGGACCGAAAAGGTAAACCTAGTGACCGTTAGAGATTTTCGGTGGGACTGACATGCAACTCGGTAGGACCGATATGGTTAGGGTTTGGGCATAACGTAATCTCGGTGAGACCGATTACACAAACTCGGTGAGACCGAGTTTGGTAATAAGCTAACCAGAGAGTTGGTCAGGTAAACTCGGTGGGACCGATTTGCTCTTTCGGTGAGACCGAAAAGTTACAAAAAGGAAACATAGAGTTTACACTGCAATCTCGGTGGGACCGATTCGCTCTTTCGGTGAGACCGAAAAGTTACGAAAGGGAAACAGAGAGTTTGCAATCCCATCTCGGTGAGACTGAGATCCCTATCAGTAGAACCGAATTGCTAGGGTTTGGCAGTGGCTTATGACAAGTGAAACTCGGTGGCGCCGGATAGAAAGAATCGGTAGGACCGAGTTTGGCTTAGGGTTTAGGTCATATGTGGATATGGGAAAGTAGTTGAGGGTTTTGGAGCATATCACTAAGCACATGAAGCAAGAGGCTCATTAAGCAACACCTCATCCCTCCTTGATAGTATTGGCTTTTCCTAAAGACTCAATGTGATCTTGGATCACTAAAATATAAAATGAAGAGTCTTGAGCTTTTGAGCTTGAGCCAATCCTTTGTCCTTAGCATTTTGAGGGTTCCACTTTCACATCCATGCCATGCCAATCATTGAGCTTTCCTGAAATAGTCATCTTGGAATAGCATTAGCTCAATGAGCTATATGTTGTTATGAATTACCAAAACCACCTAGGGATAGTTGCACTTTCAACATGCCTTGCAAGATCCTCCCAAATGAGCTGAATGCAACATTAAGTTCTCTGGCATGGAGCTCTTTGTGCTTGTTAAATATGACTTGCATCTGTGGGGGCAACTGCGATGCACGGAAACAATGGCATTAGATTGGTAGGGACAGTAGTTTGTAACATGCCAGTGAAATGAAGATGCAAAAAATATGAAAAAGGAAAAAGGAAAAAATGAGTTGCGAGAAAAAACCCACCTCTAACTCCTCGATTGTTGGCAATGCATGGAGCCACTCCTCCAAAGAGCCGCACACGTCGTCACCACTCCCCGTGTTAGATGGAGGCGGCTCATGCACATGCTCTGCGCTCCCATTGGTACCCCCTGTGCCAGCGTGAGGTGGGCTTTGAGAACCCGCATCTGCTCCCACATGTACATTTTCTTGCATGTGGGAGCTCTCAGGCACATCTGGAGTGTGTGTTGCGCCCCCAACAGCACCCCCTTGGTCGCTGATTTCCGGCAATTCCTCTGTGACATGTTCACTGGCAGCTCCTTGGTGATGATGATCTATATATGACATGAACTCAACTACTGCGTACGGTGTATTGGTCCCGAACTACATTACAAAGACGAGAACATAGTTAAGAATTGCAACAGACAAATGTCTTCTATATAAAATAAAAAAAAGCAAAGTCTTTCAGTTTCAATCACTTACTGGACGCTTCCCAAACCCATCATCCAGGGTGTCCACTGCGACAACAGCATAAAAGTCCCTTTCATGAACAAAACAAGCTCTAGGAAGCGAGTAGTTGATGGTGTGATCAACTAAGCATCCTCTTGGCACATCAAGATGGTCCATGTAAATTATCTGCAAAAAAGACACAAAAAAGAAAAGAAAACATCAGCGCCTCAAGAAAAAGATTTGTTGTTGCGGATAAAAGGAGTGGGATGTTACATGAATCAAAGGGGTGTACCGGAAGCATTGATATACATCCACCGATGAGAAATTTCCCTCTACCCTCATTCCTCTTATCTTGGTATTTTTAACTTCTCTCATCACATCACACAGGATATGCTCATCCCACTCGAACTCATGGACCATACTCATATCTCGTAGGGTGTAAAGATAATCTAGGGGGACCATGTTTCCTGTCCCAGGAGCTAGGACCAAAGCGAGGCACGGTAATACCCATGACCTCTCGATGGTGTCATCATCATCTGCTTTTGATAAGACGGAAACTGCGGTGGGTATCGGAGCCCTATCCCCGCCGCCCAGATAAACTTCACGGAAATCAGCTTTGCCCCTCTTCCCAAACTCTATCGGTCTGCTACCATATGGTACATTGAATATCTTCTTAACCATGTCTTTTGAAAAGTGAATCTGCTTGTGGTCATTAATCCTGCAATTCACAAAAAAATCAGTAGATGTTGCGAGAATAAAGAAAACAACAGGTGTTATGCAACAGAAAAGAAATACAAAAAAGCGAAGATTACATACTTCAGCACACGATTCTTAGGGTCAATGTTCATAATAATGAAATCAAGAAGCTCTTCAGGAGGAGGGACCAAAGGAGATATAAACAGCAAATCCCGAAGCTGGACTTGCTTATTACATCTCTCTTTTCCCCTTTGATTTCATTGGCTATTTCACACAGCCGCTTTGCCGACCAACGAGTTTGGAAGATAGGCATGCTGCAAAACAAGGTTTGAAAGAACATTAGCTAATCCAACTAATTTCAGATAAACATGAGCTAAAAATTCATGGAAATGTATTGGAACAGTAGCTAAAATTTCAGAGAAAAGATATATGTAGTTTCAGAAGCAAAAACTGAGTTCCCTATGCTATAAGCTAGCAGTACAAACATTCCTGTAGTTTCACAAACATAAGCTATAGACATAACCTACTAACTAGTTTCAGAAACGTAAGTTTCTCTAAAAAATAGCTATTGTTTCTGAAATTACATATATGTTTCTCTGAAACTACAAACTGGATAACTGCATTAGCTACAGAAGATTTGAACTAAAAAGAAATTACATATATGTTCCTCTAAAAAAACAAAATGGATAACTGCATGAGTATTGGAACAGTAGCTTCAGAAAAATGAAACAAGGGGATCCTATAGAAATTGCACGCTCCAGAAATTCAGAAACACACCTATAAGTTTTCACAACTATGCGAGTTGGCTGCTTTGAGTTTCAGTCCAACGAAGGGCTGTTAATCATGCATTTCGCGAAAATGCAATGGTTTCCGCAACTAGTTGATCAGGCTCTGAATTCTGTTTTAGACGCTTTTTTGTTCTACTGTTAGTGTTAACTGAATTTAAGCTTCAAAAGGGGTGTCTGAATTCTGCAACAAGTTGGTGGCTCTGAATTCTGTTTTAGAAGTTTCAGTCCAGCTTGAAAGGGTTGTCTGAATTTAAGCTTGAGAGATGTTATAGTCAGCTGGCTTGTTGGTCAGCTACATTATTTGACTAGGTGAGAGCACGTCTGCTAATTTGTAGTAGCAATAAACTGAACTAACATTTCAGCAACCTAAAACACACATATCCAATGCAAAACCATACGTATGTTCTATAATTTTGACGCCGTTTCGTTCCTTCGAGAAAATGCATGCTCAAGCAATCAAACAGGGAACACAAAATCAATTAGTGCAAGTTGGGGCCCGACAACGAGCAGTAATAGATCACGGCGGAAATGCATCACGCGGTGGGCGGGACGAACAGCAGCCTGGGTGGAGCCGACGAGATGGGAGCATCTTGTTCGGGGGGAGGGGGAGGGTTGCCCGATCCATACCTGTCAGCCACCGCCGAACCCGCCGTCGTCGTCGTCGCCACCGCGGAGGATCTGCGCCGCCGCTCCCGCCCAACGCCCTGCGCCACCCCACGCCGCCACCCTCCCCTCACAAATCCAGCCGCGTACCCTAGCCCTCTCAGTCGATAGAGATGGTCAGTTGATAGAGTCGATAGAAGAGATGGTCAGTTGCAAGAATAACTATACTGAAACAATGACTCTGTTTCAGAAACGCACGCGCGTCACACGGAAGCGGGGAGGTTGTCATCCGTCCGATCAACAGACGATCCGACGGACGCGGAGCCGGCGGATGCGGCGCAAGTGATCGGTGGGGTGAAGGAGAGCTTTTCCCTTTTTATAAAGAAGTACATATTTAACATTTATTATTGTACATAGCCCATGTTAGGTTTGGCTCGGTGACATGGCAAATTTTTATAGCCGAGCGTTGGCTATATTATTAATCTTGCTCTTACTTTAAAAATAATTAAAAATGAAAACCTTAGGAAAAGTCAATGAGGACGTGAAAGCTTCTCCTTGCTCATCGAAAGGCGCCGCAACCAACCAAGCTGGAATGTCGGATCTCCGCTCCCGCAAGAACAGAACAGATACGATACACACTACGCGCAGCGCGGTCGACCACCTCCCGTGCATATATAAATCCAGCACGACCAAGGTGCGCAAGACGGAAAGAGAAACGGTACCACATGGACGCACTCTTCGAGCAACTCTCTGCCGTCGCGGACATGGCTCTCCACGGCCGGGGCTTCGACCCGGCGCGGCTTGCCGGCGTCCTCGCGCTCTTCGAGGGCGAGGCGCACGCCTCGTGGGCGGCAGCCGAGACGGAGCACGAGGCGGTGGCCCGGGGCACCGAGGCGGCCGTGGAGACCGCTCAGGGCCACCTGAACGCCGTCATGGGCGCGGCCGTCGGCAAGTACCGCGGCTCGTCCGGCGAGGCCGACGCGCTGTCCGCGGCCATGGCGGCCATGGATATGGCCTTCGAGGCGACGTCCGGGACACGCCCCTCGTGAGATCGAGCGGGAAAGATCTGTGCGCGCACGCACCGCAAGATCGATCGGTACACTCCCATGAGCATGTATGTACTCCTATGTGCCTGGCTGCATGGCTGGGCTATGAGACTATGACTATGATGATGTACTATACTCGTATGGACACCAGAGCTAGTGAGCAGAGCACCTGCGTTGTTGTCCTCGTGTCCATGGCTGTGCGCATCGGCATGTGTAGTGTCATTTCCGAACGGATGCACACGGACTGGTCCGTGGCGGCTCCGTGCCGTTCGTGCACCGCCAGACCAGGTGCGACCTGCGAGTGCACGGGTCCAAGTCCAACAGGTGGCGACAGTGAACCGCGAGCGGAAAAACCGCACCTTGCCAGTTTCTTTCCGGCGCAGCAGCGCGTGCTGCCACTCCGACGCCTTCCTCGGCGCCTGCCCCCGCACTCCCCTTCCGCTTCGGCTCCCAACCTCCCCCAGATTCCCAATCCCCCCCCAAACCCCGCACCAAAAATTCGAATCCCGCGCCCGCCGCCGATGCCCTCCTCCAAGCGCCCCTCGCCGCGCGCGTCCGCCGAGATGGACGACGACGCGTCCGCCGACGCCGACGCCGGCCTCCGCGCCTCCCCGCCCCGCCCCAGCAAGCGCTCCAAGTCCCGCTCCCGCTCCGGCGACCGCCGCCGCTCGCCCAACCCTAACCCTAGGCCCCGCGCCGACTACTACGGCTCGGCGCCCTCCCGCAAGAGCGAGCGCAAGCGCAAGCCCCGCTCCTTCCCGGACTCCGCCTTGCTCTCCCAGGCCATCGCGCCCGCCTCTTCCTCGGGCGGCGGCGGCGGGCTCGGCCTCGGCGGCCACGGGGCCGCCCAGAAGCTCTGGACCGACGCCGACGAGATCGCGCTGCTCAACGGCGCCATCTCCTTCCGGGCGCGCTACGGCATCGCGCCGCGGCTCCCGGACGTCGAGGGGCTCTACGAGTCCCTCAGGGACTCCCTCTCGTCGCACATCAACCAGGCCAAGGTCTACTACAAGCTCAAGCGCCTCAAGAGCAAGTTCTGCAACACGGCGCTGCCGCCCACCAGCACCCCGCACGAGCGCCGGGTGCGCGCCCTCTCTGCTGACCTCTGGGGCACCGAGGTCGCGCCTTCAGCAGAGGATCTCCCAGAAGCAGAAGAGCCCGAGGAGGAGGACGCAGATGAGGAATATACTGGCGCGGATGTGCCTGTGGCGGTGTCGGTGAGGCTGCCCTTGGTCAGCGAGCTGCTAGGTGAGTACTGGAGGAGGAACGGGCGTGCCATGTCAGGAGTGTCACTGGAGAAGGGTTTGGGGTTACTTGGTGCAGAGGAGGGCAATGTAGCCGAGACTAGATGGAGGAGGCAGCTTGATGCCGAGATGCGCACACAGTTGCGCCGACATGATTTGGCAAAGGAGGTCTTCGGCTTGCTCAGCGACACCATCAAAGGCCTAGGGCCTTAGCCCGGGGTACAAATCCCGCATTCTCCTGCCCTCTGTAAAACAGAGTGTTTTCCTTCTGCACTTTAACTTGCCTTGAACTAATTTGGTTTCATTTTCTGCTTATCATCAGTTCAATACTGGATTAAACTAGAGTGTCTTGTTCAAACTTAAAGTCGTGAATTGGCATGTTGATTGAAGTGCACACTTTTGGGATTAAACTCGAAAATAAGCATGGTTGTCTTGTTATGTAAAATTGTATTGGCGGTAGGAGTTCTCTTCCCCATTGGTTAAATAGCCATTATCTATTCTAAGATCATTACATAGGAAGTTTTGCGGATATTCTTGATAAGCTAGTTTAGCAGTTTGGATTCGTAAGCATTGAAGCCACTGGATGACATTCTGTTACTAGTATGGTGTGTTCACTATTGTGATTCAGTTGTCCTACATGATAGCTTGCATGTCTATTTTGCTATACTTGGCAAAGTAGAATTGTATTTACAATTTGGCTTCTTGCAGTCCTATCTCTAAGATCATTACATTAGGAAGTTGTGGCATATTTTCGATAAGCTAGTTTAGGAATTTGGATTCATAAACATTGAAGCCACTGGACGACATTCTGTTGAACACTAGTATGGTGTGTTCACTAGTGCGATTCAGTTGTCCTGCATGATAGCTTGCATGTCTGCTTTATACTATACTTAGCAAAGTAGAATTGTATCTGCAATTTGGTTTCTTCCAGTCCTATCTGTGGCATCACTGTAGCCAGCTTACTTTTCTGCGAGCATTAAGCTTGCATCCCTTTTCTAAAATCATGTCGCACTAGTAGGGCGTGTTTACTATTGTGATTAAGTTGTCCTACGTGATACAGCTTGCGTGTCTGCTTTACTACACATAGCAAATTAGAATTGTGTCTGCAATTTGGTTTCTTCCAGTCGTATCTGTGGCATCAAAGTATTCCACTTCCTTTTCTGCGAGCAGTAAGTGTGCACAACATCTTAAAATTCTGTTGCACTAGTGTAACTAAAGATGGGAAGGTTTTCTATAGACCTATACCGATGCTGGTCTGAGAAAGTTGTGTCCTTCTGGATTCAGCTTACTTTGGCCTAATTAGGTTATTGTCTGTTTCTTGTGACTTTACCAGTGTGTTAAATTACACCATAATAACGTGTTAGTCTAGTTAGTCTACCCGCAATGTGGAACTATACTGGCGGTTTGATTTCTTTCCCATCCAAGCTGTACCTTCCCATCCTGGTTATAAAATATCATTTCATCAGCACATTTTAGTGTAGTCTCGATGTGCTAGGTTAGGCATGGATTAATTTGAAACTGTTGGTATAAATCTACTGGAAATATGCACTTCATGTTAAAGTACTGGGATGTAGGATTTCAAAATGATGGTACACTCATGTTTTCTCTGCTTGCAAAGCAGAACTGTGTTTGTAGTGTGGTTTACCCTTAATGGCAAGTCAACAAAAATGAAGTATTTGAAGCAAGTCAAAATGGAGTTGATATGATTATGAACTATCATTTTCTCCAAGTACTGCTTTCGGTCGGATCAGCGAATGCTATTCTTTCTGCTAGCTAGACTTCCTTGCTAAGGCAAAGGTAGGATCTCTTAAAGTGTCATCATTTTGGACAGTACAAGGCACATGGCATTGCTGATTCAAACATATGTAACATATTGGACATGCATAATTGATCAATTTGCTTTACATCTGACAATTAGACCAAAATCCAAGAGTCAGTTTTCTCTTCAAACGCAATCCTGCAGCACTACTCATGCAGCACCACAGAGTAGGGATGTACAAAGTGCATGAAAGACATTCAACTGTTAAGCATCAGTTTAGTTGATTTCTGGCACAGATACAATTGTTTGGTCCTCTTGCCTAGGTTGGCAAATACTTTTCTTATCATTTGCACACATTAGTGTGACAGCTTAAGAAAATTAGGCACAGCATGAGTTCATTTTTAGCATCTCAATAGGAAAGATTGCCTGGATCCATCATGTTGTTTTAGTATCGAGCCACAAGGTTACTGTGGCTGCTTCTTTAGGCAAGGGGAGGGCTGCTTGGCCACAGGTGCCCTTGAAACATTCATGGACGCACCAAGTCATTGCTTTTCTAGTTTTCTTTTTGTACCTTGGATTTTCATCTCCATGGGTTTCTTTGGTCTCACCCAGACACGCGGTCCTAGCTTAGTTACTTGAATCCGAATGCATGGGGCATTGGCACGTAGAATGGTCATCATCTAACTCCCTTTCATGGTGGATCACCAATAACATTACCTTATTATTTTGAATGGACCAACATCACATTGTAGGATTTGCCATTCAGATAGTTGCGTCCTTCCGAGATCAGTTGCAATGCTTTAGTTTTACCTCGTGTTTGCATGCCACCTTTGTCGCGTGGACACTCTTATTTTACCTCGGGTTTGCGATGCTAAGCACTCTTATTTTGACGTGGTATTGGTATGTGGATGTAATGGGATCAGTGATGTTAGTTCCCATATGCACAAAGTGTATTACTATTTTACCTTTAAGCTCAGGTTCAACACGCATATTGTTTTTATGTGTTCCATATTTTACGTCAAGCCAACTATTAATGCCCAACATGGGGGTTGCTTTTTTTTAACCAAATCATTTTGTTTATACAATACACAATAATCTGTGCAGTAAAGTCTATGCCTTCGGCAGTCGGAATGATTGTGTTAGTTGAAAATTGACACGTACATACTTTTTTTGGCAATGCAGATGCTTGTTGGTTGTACCATTTTTTATGAGCACCTCTTATGAAGTTCTAATGCAAGGCCCTACAAAGCCCAGTCTTGACTCATTCACCAAAGAACATAGCAACCGGAATTTAAAATACAGATAATATATTGTGATCTCACATGGCTTTGTGACCCACATGGATACCTAAATTAACCGACTTGAATAAATAAGAGGAGCCGCTAGCCAATAATAGCCACTCTAAATTCTTTAGATGTTTAGAATTGTACCATGATTTCTCCTCGCGTCCTGCACACTGTGTTGGCATGGTCTTAATCAACCCCCCCACCATTATATCGTGGCAAACACTCTAATTCCTACTTCACAGCTTGGCTGTTCTACTTGCACGTCAAAGCTCCCCCAATTATCTAGGCTTGATAACCCATTCACATGATTAAGGTGGGTGATACGTAACCAACAACAGGCCCGAGGGTCACATCAATAGGTTAGATTTGTCCGCCTAAAGTTTGGGCCTATTCGTTTGGGACTGTCCAGCTTAGGGCAACTCCAAGGCCGTGCACCAAAACGCCCCTAAATGTATAGACCGCGTGGCCCGGACACTGCCATCCAACGATGTGCACTAAACGTCCATGGACCGTTCCGGGTGTCCGAATTCCTCTAAACCAGTACCAAACCTGGGGAACGTTTGGGGGAGTCCAGATGTCTGCCTGGCTCACTTGTTAGTTGGACCACATGTCTCCCCACACCCATGTGTTGTTTTCCTCTATGTCCACATGGCTCACCCTGCTGTCTGAATATGATGCTTATTTGATGTCTATGGTTGGATGATTGGCTCCGTT